GGACCCACAGGCACTAGTTTACCTCGAAAACAGCTACTGGAAGTGAACTATTAGTGTAAGAACGTGCGTTACCTTTAATTGATTTTATGCGAAGTGACCTAGAGTGTAAAGTGAGAGAGATCAGGTCGGTGTTAGTGCCTATTGATCTGGAGTGTCCACAGTCTGTGGGTGTCTGTGTGTGGTGCCTGCCAGGCCAGTCATACCAATACACAGCTGCAGGCCTTACGTTGGTGGTGTTGATGGTGTGGTATCGGTGGTGAGAGAAGTGGACGGCCGCGTGTGGTGTCGGTGTTGAGTTTAGTGGGCGGTGTAGGTGGTGAGGGAAGTGGGCGTCCCCTTGTGGTGGTGGTGGTAAGAGAAGTGGGCGTCCCCGTGTGGTGGTGGTGTTGAGTGGAGTGGGCGTCCCCGGGCAGCGGTGTTGGGCGGGTGAGGCGGGGGCGCGGCATGGGGTGTGCCCAGGTGGTGGTGCTGGCGGGCAGCGGGCCAGCGGCGGGCCTCGCGGGGCGCCACCAGCCCGCTGGAGGCAGGTAGGCACTGCCCCCCTGCTGCCCCCGTGCCGGCGACCCTGCCCTGCCACTGCTGCTCTTCCTCACACTCCGTTACTGCTGATATTCCTGCTGGTGCTGGTGCACGTGAGCGCGCGCCCACAAGCCCAGTAAGCACGATACTCATCTGAAGTTGTGGGCGAGCCCAGGCTGGGTATGGATGCCCCCCGCCGCCCCACCCGCTCCCCCACACTACCACGGCACCACTAGACCAGCCTCCATCATGGCGGCTGACGGGGGGGCTGACATCATGCCCGACCTCTCGCACCTGACGGAGGACGAGCGGCGAATCATCGAGAGTGTCATGCACAGGCACAAGATCGAGGAGGAGAGGGAGAGCGAGCTCGTCAGGTGAGTGTCGGGGCTGGGGGGTGGGGGGGAGGGAGGAACACCCTCTCGAGTTCAAACAGAAAAAAACAACATTCATGGCGAATTGCTGGACAATGAAGCGAATATAGAAGTTTGCAAAAATCGAACGAAAGACAAAGGCCAAGCGCACCTTTACCTTCATCTGCCGCCTGAATGGGTCACAGTTACCTTTCACCTTCGCATGCACCTGTCTCGTGCTCATTATCACCGCCCTCGCTTGCATGCATCATTATCATCTTGTACACATCAACCTACATTTTTTTCCGCATACTTACTCTCAAAGTCTGAAATATTCTCTTTGAACATCTGTACAAAATATGAAATACAAGATACATCTACCTTTTTTTTGTGTTCCGTGAATGAAGATTCGCAGATGAAAACAATAGCAGTCACAGGTAAATGAAGGAAGGAGTTCTTTCTTTGCTTCTGGCTCCAGGACTCGAATCCTTAAAATGCCATATGGCCAAACTCCCTTTGAGTAAAAGCTCCTCTCCCCTGAATTTTATGAACTTGTTTCATTACGTAACTTTGCAGGAGGTATCGATTACTGCCTGTTTAGTGACAGAAATATTCATAGTTCAACCCTATTTGTAATTATTTTCTATGCAGACAGAATTATCTTTTTTCTTGAGATATTTGAATTATGGCTTTCGATGATATTTTTCATTCCTTTGAACATTTTTCACCCTCAGAAGGCCTAGCACCACCACCACTGTTCATTCCATCAGAAGTAGACCTTCTCTAAAGCAGTCCATTACATTTAAAGCCTAGGTTTCACCCCCTTTTTATTTCACATGCACACAAAGGAATTCTAAGAACCTCTCCGCCCACTTATAAAAGTTCTATGAGCCATTTATATCGCACTCCCTTTAGTGTATTTTTCTTCTATTTCTTCCTTTGAGAAAGTCTTCGAGAAGGTCACAGAGAGTATGAAAGAAGTAAACCAAGCAGGAGTTCAGACGTTCTTTCTGCATTACAAGTAAATAGGTGTAAGGACTGAACGGGTGCTTCTTACGAGCGAGTCCTCATTCTTGTTTGTAGTTTCCACTGAGGGAAGCTAATGTCCCAATCCTTCGCGTCTGTTCCTCTGGCTGTAAGGAATGGAACACCAGCGATTCAGTAGAAGAGAAATTATGGTCATTGCAATGCAACTGCATACCTCTTGCATCCTGTCTGAGGCAGAGACAAGTAAAGAAAAGGTAGCCTAGCATTTAGATAAACGAAACCATTAATCTCAAGGTCACAGGTTCGGAACACCTTTGGACGAAAAGCTACATTTCCTTGTGATGTTCCCCGTAAATCCTGTTCTTCTAAAAAAAAAATCTTACGGTATAATTATGGAAGAAGGATCGAATCTTGCCTCAGTTTCCTGTCACTGAAGCAAATGGTGTGACTATCTTTCTGTCTTTCATCATGTGCGTGTTTTGCAAGGTGAAGCTACTGCTAATGCTTCCTTTGTAATTATGCTTATTTAGTATTGTGATTTTATGTTTTCTTGCAGCTGTTGATCATGGCCATTAGCAACAGCCTCACTTTTCTAAAGTCTGCTTTTGAGATCTCGTTCTTCTACTGGGTTTATTGTTAAT